GTTTGATGTTATCTTTAGATGAAAATTACTGAAAAAAATCAGTCATCATTATAAGCGTACCGCTGTTTACGTCCACCCCCAAAACATCGTCGCGTTTCCATCCATGATGAATGAGCAGCCTCAAATCATTGCCCACTAAAGACAAATCGTTCGAGAGTAAGTGCCCATCCAAGTTTTGAACAAACAGAAAACTACTTACTGCCTGCCCCAATGTCAACGAAGATCCTGCGAGTTGTTAATTTTTCTTTGATCGCTTTTAGCACCTCCGGAAAAAAGGGGTGTCGGGCTATCATTCCCTGCAAGAAATGAAAACCTTTTTTTTTGGTGCGCTAGTGTCAGGACTACTTGGAGAATGAAGAGCCGAACCTCCGGCCACGAGTTCGGAAAATCGTTAGCACTCACACAGGACACATGGAAAGGGGAAAGTCTTGCAAGCTTCGGCTCGGATCTCAAACAGAAGAGCCTTCAACTCTTGAGGATCTTGAATTCCGGTCGCCGCTTGGTAAAACTTGAGTTCCTCGCTCATGCGTGGATCATCGAGTGGATAAGCTGCACCGATCCCGTCTGCGGAGGCTGGCATCTCTAACATTCCAGCCCCAAATTGATCCATCGCGATGTGCGACTTCTGGCTTTGCTGAGGTTCAAACATTGTGGTAGTACTAGAATCGAATCGCTGGGGGACTTAGAATAAAGAGGTGAATCTTGTACTGGATAAGTGACTTCGCATAGGACTATCGAGCCCTCTAGTCTCAGTAGGAGAGCGCTCTTAAATACAACATGCCGTCCAGATGAAGCCCACCCTTGAGCGGTTTTCCATCCTCAGGCAAAGCCTTTGGTGTTACAATTTTGGAAAAACGAGCGTGCAGAGACATCATGTGAGCAACATGTGGAAGGACAGCGGGTAGCTACGTTCGATCGCAAAGGCCAGACGACCTGCATTCTTAGCATCAGTATCGAAGGAAGGAATATTGGTTTTAGGTGTCCATATATGACCATCGCCTGACCTGATTCATGGCTCAGGCTAGATTCAACATTCCTTTTTCAGATCAGGACCACTAAGCGGAAACCATCCGTCGCTTCTGCACTCTCATCGCACTTCCTTAACACCCGGAAAAGTCAACCTTACTGGCTTATGTAAAACATGGCATCCTCTTCCTTTCTCAGATCCATTACGTCTATGGGTAAGCTCGCCAAGAGACCCTGTTGCAAATTTGGGGGGTCCTCAAGGCTTGACTCATGTGAAGTACAATGTATGACGTTGGTGGAGAACAAAGCGCGTCTGAATGTCGCAAACCGAACCCTGCGGCAAAAAGACGCGAAGGTAAATGCAGCAAAGCCGGCCTGTTGGCTATTACGCGGGTACAGTGTCGAATAATTGTTAGGGTTTGACCAGTGGGTGCGCTCGTGCCGATTGAGCCGAGGTATGTATTTGAGCAAAGCACCGAATGGGGTACTCCCTTGCCTCACCCACTCACTTATGCCTGGTGCTGAGCTGGTCGAGGTGGGGGTGTTTTTTGGCATCTTTAGCTTCACCACGATGTAAATAAATAAAGTTGTAGGAATGTAGATTTGGTAAGTATGGGATCAGGTCCTCGGGATATACCACACCTGGATAAAACCTGATGAATCGCTTCGAGTTAATACGAGGCTGTATCCCTCTCCCCGTGCCGGTGCAGACCGGTCCAGCGATGATATCTTCGGCGGCTCGGTAATGGTCATTCATCGGTCAACACTTATTATCCTCGGTGAGCTGCTGCAGGTCATGCCAGCTTGGTGGTTAAGGGGGGGCTGCAGGCTCCAATGCCAGCCCCGCGCTGCGGACGTTTTCAAGCCTCTCTTCGTCGGTCGGGCCATGGACTCGGAGTCGGATATTGGAGAAATTGGAAAACTCGAAGGAAGCCACAGGATGTCTGATTCGGACGGTGCCGAAAATTCAAAAAAGTACAAACCTGTCTTCAAATGATGATGATGAATTCAAGTGATCACAATGTGAGTGATGAGCAAGCAAATTTGAGATAATTGAGGCTATGGTATAAGCAACAGTAACCAGTTGAGTGTTGGGTAGAGATAAAAAATGGACAGAAATGGAATCACAAAAAGAGGCACAGAAAGAAACTCAATGGAGAAAAAAGAGGAATCTCTTGTTATGAGATACTTTCACTCCCAGTGGCAGAAATGCATGATCAAAACTTGCTGAGAGGGTCTGCCAAGTATCAGGTCAGATACACTTATATTCCATGCTAGAACGTTAAAATTCCGATTCCCCTGTGCGCACAACATCACTACTCAGGAATTTTACAAGTGCTTTTTAGAATTCCCTCTCAACATTTCGCGTCTGTCAACTTAGGATGAGCTACAATTTTGGCCAATTCTTTTGAGTTTCTAATTGGCAGAAGAATCCCAGTAAAAGATCATTGTTTCCTTCATTTCACTAGCAAAACATTCCCGAGATAGATCTCATTACAGTCTTTCAATCTGTTCAATTAAATAACGCTACATCACCGATCAATCATGTGAGCTTGATTCGAGTAATGCGATGTGTGGTTTGTCCTTAGCGCGTACGCAGATGTCGTGTCACAAAAAGATGATTGCCTTTTTCTCTTGGTGCCATGCATGTTACCGTCCTCTTGATCTTTTTCAGACGAGGGTAACAGACCAGTAGAGGCGTTGCATGGAACTGCAGCCTGGGAAGAGTGGGATGAGATGTGCTTCTGGGCCAACGTCCACGAGCTCAGAAACCAGCTTCACTTTTCGTGGGGCGAAGATCGATTCCCATAACTCTTTCCAGGTCTGCAGAGGTTTGTTGAAGCAGTACACAAGAGAATCCAAAATTGTGGTCAAACATTGGATCGCTATCCAGGTTTGTGGAAGGATTGAGAGGTCACGGGACTTACTTCGGGAGAGTGGACATACATCCTTTCATTTGAAGCAATGGCAGATAAGTTGTTTTCATTAGTTAAACTGGTACTCTTGAGGCAAAAATTAGGGAAAGATACGGACTTGTGACTTTCAAGCCCTTTTTTGACACCGCCAATGTGCATGCCAAAGATGGTACTGCCGGCTTCATCGGACAGCAACAACGCGCAACGCTCCGCCAATTTCCTCTGTCCAGCTTCATCAAAGAAATGGAAGAGTTGGTTCAAGGTGATGAACCTGGCTGCGCCCTTCAAAGGGTTAAGGTCTTTCAATGAATGAAGATCAATTTTCGCGTGGTCGACCTTGGCGGAACTTTTCACATCCAAGACTTCGGGTTCGAGGACGTTTCCCAAGAAATACGGGATGGGGCGGTCCGAGTCTCTAAAGAGTTTATATCCCAGAGGTTTCCACTCTAGAAAAACAAAACAAACATTACTGTGCGCTCATTTCTATTTGTGATGGAGTACTGTTTCATAAGGAAAAGTACGTACCGCTAGCGACGTCCACGCCTATCACATCGTCACGGTTCCATCCATAGTAGATAGTCTGTCTCAAATCGGTCCCCACTGCAGAAAAAGGGAAATTCTTCCATCAACATCAAGTCAGCAGTTGATGTGTGTAAGCGTAAACGACTTACTACCAGCACCAATGTCAAGGAAGATCTTGCGGTTGTTTGACTTCTTTTCAATTTCCTTGCGCACATTGTGATAAAATGGGTGACGAGCTATCATACCCTGCAAGAAATAAAAGCCTGTCCCACCAATTATATCAATGGACTCAGCCATAGTTTGAACTATAATTCATTAACAATCAAAAGTTTAACTTACACAAGATACATGGAAAGGGGAAAGTTTTGCAACCTTCGGCTCGAATCTCAAGGATATGAGCCTTCAATTTCTCAGAGTCTTGAATGCCAGTTGCCGCTTTGTAGAAGGTTAACTGCTCGCTCATGCGTGGATCATCGAGCGGATAGGGTGCTTCGATTCCCTTCTCGGATGGTGGCATTTGTGCCATCGCAGGGCCAAATTGGTCGTCTCCAACCATCGGCTTCTCTTGATTTTGCTTAGAGTTCGACATAGTACTAGAGTCAAATGTATCTCTGAAGTGTTTCTGAGTAACTTGATGTTCGAATATATCAATGGGTGTAGGATGTTGCTTGGGGATTGTTTGATCTGGGTCTGGACTGGAGCGCTTATAAAGACGACCAGCGAAACCCAGATTCCAGCACACATACCTAGCTACTCTTGTTGTAACTAAAGCGTGCTACATGTGAAAACGGCATGAAGTCCTTCAGGGAAAGAAAGAGGACGCAAGGTTGCTTGATCCGACACACGAAGACCATTGATGTGATAGATGTCGTTGCTTGAAAGGAAGAAACATTTGTGCTCGCAAGCTCACCTGGCCTGAAGGTCGGCTCTGCTTCATCCAAACTTCCTTAATGGAGATGATTGCGTAATGGAGATGATTGCGGCGGATGATCTTGACCGCAAGTGACATGCTCGGAGTCGCATTGCCTTGTGCGGCGGGTCAGTCAGAAATCAAGCAGTGTTCTTTCGTGACACAACAGAGAATTGTGTGCGGTGGCTGTGCTTGCTACAACACATCAGGGTGGCTAAGCAAGGTGCACATTTCCTGAGGCATCTCCCTACGTACGGCAAGACGCACTCGGCTTTCCATCACTGGCAATAAAATCCTGCTTGAGAAGTTCCGATTGAGATCAAACTGTCCCTGGAAGCGTCGCCTAACTTTTACGAAGGGCTTTGATCTGCAACTTCGCGAAAATCATTTCTACGTACGACCCGCCTCTACGCAGAGGGGGGGGGGGGGGGGGTTATGAGAGAAAGCTGTAAAACTTCAAACCGAGCCTGAGGAGTCCAAAGATGTATCAGAATTCTAATCATGTAGACTTGTAAGAGAAAATATAACACTTTTTCTGGTTAAATGTTCTATCAATCAAACCTGCAATCTGATAGATATCAAATCATATCTCGAATCATTATAGCTGGTAAACGTATTTCATATGTAATTAAATTTGAACAGGTCTTTCTGACTTGTAAGGTCTCTTCCATCAAATATTTTTTTGGTTCAGGATATGTAGCTTGCATATGTCAGATGAAAGGTATTTGAACTTGAAGGAAATGAATTTATGATTTAAGTCATTTTTTTGGTCATTTAAATACAGCCCTAAAGACAATTTAATGAAAGTGTGTTTTGTCAGCCTGCACATTAGTGGTTATATGTTCTTCACATGAACAGGAAAGATTTACAGCTTGTAGAGAAGATCAAATTTACTATGTTATATTTATTTGATATTTTGCCTGATTCACGCATGCATATTCAAGCTTCCAAAATCATCTGGGGGCAAAGTTATGAGTCTTGTATCAATTGATGAAGCTTTTGTGGAGTATCAACCAATAACCCTGTTCAAACTTCATGGGTGATTCATCATGATCCTCTTCTACTGCAGCTCCTTATAGGCATTGTGTAAAAGATCCCAAATCTTGTGTAGGTTGGCAAAACAGGTGATCCACCATTATGTCAAAAGGTTCTTGAGAAGATGATGTGTTCTCCACATAACAAAGCTCTGTGTCAGCTAGATTCTTAACAAACTCCATCAAGGTAAGATTGTCATCATATTCATGAAAGAGAACCTGGTAGAGTTTGCCTTCATCATCATCCAAAGCAAAGTCCAGTCTTCGAGTTGGTGGATCAGCTAGATTATTTTTAACCAAAAGATGTTTGAGTATGAAATGAAAGGAAGTGAGCAATGAGGCCTATCAAACCTTTCTATCTGTTAAACATTGATTTTTCATACAATATTTGAGAGTGGCCTGATCAGACATCTCCATCATGGGTTTGTTAGTATCAATCAACAAAGCTTGCTATTTGGAAAATACCAAGACAATGGAATAAAGTTCCTGATCATGAACCTGCCAAATTCTTGTGGAGTTAGCTCTTGTGACAAAAAGAAACTGGATTTAGATCACCCTTATCATTCAGTTGCAATAGAACTCCTGCTATTGCTTATTTTAAACTATCAACAAATAATATCCTTGATTTGGCAAAATCAAAAGGTGTCAGTAAGTGCCATAGTAAAACAGGTTTTAAGAAAAGAAAAGGAAGTCATGCAACAGGCTGCTTGTAACCCTCCCAAAACATGGTGACCTTTATTAGTGAGCTCTGTTGTAAGAATCAAAGTGTTGAAAGGGATGAATGAGGTGCAAACTCTGGCTTTCTTTATTATCAGAAAACAATACCACCAAGGTAAGCTGGCCAATTTATTCAGTGATAAAGGATTATTGTGAGCCCACTCCTCAAGGGCTCACACAAACATGTCACAGGATTACATACACATAGTTCTGTCAAGCATTTAGTCCTGACTTCACAGCACCTCTCCTAGTTGGTAGCATCTATTTCCTACTGACTATTATGAATATATAAAATTTGGTACTAGAACCACTTGATCTTTCAGCTTTCTAGTGCCTCATTTTATTGACAGTGAAGGATTGAAACACAATCCTTGCAATTATGTTCAAAGATGAAAGTGTAATTGTTGAGGATTGGTTGTGTTGTGCAAAGTGTTACTCAATTGGTTGTTGTTTTTTCCTGGTATTGATGTCTTGATACTGATGAATGTGATGTGAGAACCTGTGGAGAATTTTCTATAAAAAGGAGCATATCCCAGGAATTTTGGAAGATGGAAGCAACACTGAAACAGAGGCAAGACAATACAATATCCAGTGTTTATTTGTATTGTCTCAGAATTTTAATGCACAAAATACCAATCCTTGTTTATCTCACTTTCCTGAGACAATACATATGTATTGTCTTTGGAAATGAGACAAGTATTGTGTATTGTCTCAGAGGGATGATCCCATCAAAAATGTCTTCAATACACATGATATTTGTCCATATCAACAAAAAAAGACAATTTTTTTGCATGGGCAAAGACAAATCCAAGACAGTGGATTTTCTCACCAACCCAAGGAAATACCCAAGCAAATACACCAGGTTTCAGTCTCAGAAAAGAGACAATACACACAAATATCAAATATGTGTCTTGCCCTCTGTTTCATAATTCATGGCAGACAATCTCCGGGTGAGACCATTGCACAATGGTATTCAATTTCCCAGGGTCCATTTTGATCCCTTTGGGAGAAATATTGAAGGCTAAAAAAGGAAACATTATCAGTAAAAAAGAAGCTTTTTGTGAGAGATGAATGGCAATGCTCTTGTAGCAGCGCCGGTGGGCCACTACGCTTTTGGCCCAAAAAAATGTAGTGTTAGCGTTTTTTTAGCAGATTTCCACTGCGCTACAGGGCCAAAGAACTGCTAACCAGAATTTTAGCGTAGGGTAGTGGCAACAAAGGGTAGTTACACTACAGATAACGGTATTGTAACGATAGCGTAACGAGGATAGTGTAGTTATCGTTACTGTTACCCGTAACGAAGAGCCAATACTTTAACGGGATTTATTTTGTTTTTTTGGGGGCGCTCGTTACTCTATCAGCAAGGTTGTTTTTTTATTACTATTCAACGTTGTGATATCACCCATCGGGGTGGTAAATTATCAACTAATGCGAGCAAATACAAGAGCATAATGAAGAAGTGTCGGACTCCGTGGAGAACGATCATTTTTTACTGGGGGGGGAGGGTACCAAAGACCTTAATGCCATTCCTGCCTCTTCGAAACCACCAGTGAGAGGCACCTCTTCCCGAAGCCACATCAGGCTGCTTACGCATCGTGACATGGTTGATGGGAGTAAGCGTCCCCGGTTGCTTGTACACACATCCGCTGCCGACGAGAAAAGTCGCTCCACAGAGCATGAACTCCCAGATGCTCCTAAATATGCACGAGCCATCTGGGAGAGAGCTGGGTAAGTGGTCGCATTGGCCTTCCACCATTGTAATGGGGTCGATTTGCGGTCTATCGCGTTGGTCTTGAAGAATAGTTCAGCCTTCAAGTAGGCTTCGACTTTGTTTTCATGTGCGGTCGGTTTCTTGGCCATCCGTGAAGCCAGGCGTTCCCGAAACGACTGTGGCTCGGCAGTCGGTGGCTTTTCGATTTCCATAACCTCAGACTCTGGTACTGATGGGTGAGAGTCGGCCTTGTGAAGTTCTTTGTAGATTGTGAATCGATGATTGAGCAACCCGAGGCACTGTTTGACCTTGTTGCTTTCTGGCCCAAATCCTAGCTCAAAGATGTGCATCCGAAAGCAGGGATGCAATATAGTGGCAAGGACCAAGGTCTCGCAGTTCATGGCCTCGTCCAGATACTTCTTGACTCGGTTAAGCATCACATGAAACATCGGATATAACATATCCTTCTCTTCAGATCGGGCTAGCTTTTCGTTGATCTGGTCTTTTAGCTCCAAGTATTTTGGAAGCACGTGTGCTCCGGTTGGCTGATTGCCTTCCATTTGAGATGTAAGCTTCACAAAGACCTGAGTAAAAACAGCAGGAGTTGTTCAATTACACTACAAACAATACCAATTTTGCCCCAGGAAAAAATGGCAATTTGGTTGGTGGAAAATAGGTCACTTTCCTGAGCATTTTTTTACAAAATGACTCAGGAGTAAAAATTAAGCTAAAATGAGCAATTTTAGCCAAAAAATAAAAATGCCTCAAATGAGCTATTCACCTGTAATTTTGGAAAGTTTGAGGCATTTTTATTTTGGGCTAAAATAG